CTCTAAAACATGTACATCTGGAGCCTACCCATCAACCTTTTATCCACCAATACATAATCTAATAAACTACTTTCATTACGTGCTACATCATACCTTGTATATTTTATTTATCCTCTTTTTCATAAAATATGTATTACTTATTACCAAATTTCTTTCTACACATAGCTCAATTAAAGGCTCCCCATTTACATTTACCCCTGGCACCCCAAATTTACCTACTCCCTCCTTCCATAACATTTTTACCCACTTTAGCATTGAAATCCCCAACCACCATTACTCTCACACTTGATTCAAAACTCCCCACGCATTCACTCAACATTTCCCAAAATCTCTTCTCTCTCTCCTCTACACTTCTTCCCCTTCTCCAGGTGCATACACGCTTATTATAACCCACTTTTCACATCCAATCTTTATTTTACTCCACATAATCCTTGAATTAATACATTTATAGTCCCTCTTTTCCTGCCATAGCTTATCCTTCAACATTATTGCTACTCCTTCTTTAGCTCTAACTCTATTTGAAACCCCTGACCTAATCCCATTTATTCCTCTCCACTGAAACTCTCCCACCCCCTTCAGCTTTGTTTCACTTAAAGCCAGGACATTATATATATACAGTGGACCCCTGCTTAACGATCACCTCCCAATGCGACCAATTATGTAAGTGTATTTATGTAAGTGCGTTTGTACGTGTATGTTTGGGGGTCTGAAGGACTAATCTACTTCACAATATTCCTTATGGGAACAAATTCGGTCAGTACTGGCACCTGAACATACTTCTGGAATGAAAAAATATCGTTAACCAGGGATCCACTGTATATATGTATGTGTATATATATGTGTGTGTATATATATATATATATATATATATATATTATATATATATATATTATTTTTTTTTTTTTTTCAACAAGTCGGCCGTCTCCCACCGAGGCAGGGTGACCCAAAAAAGAAAGAAAATCCCCCAAAAAGAAAATACTTTTCATCATCATTCAACACTTTCACCACACTCGCACATTATCACTGTTTTTGCAGAGGTGCTCAGAATACAACAGTCTAGAAGCATACACATATAAAGATACACAACATATCCCTCCAAACTGCCAATATCCCAAACCCCTCCTTTAAAGTGCAGGCATTGTACTTCCCATTTCCAGGACTCAAGTCCGACTATATGAAAATAACCGGTTTCCCTGAATCCCTTCACTAAATATTACCCTGCTCACACTCCAACAGATCGTCAGGTCCCAAGTACCATTCGTCTCCATTCACTCCTATCTAACACGCTCACGCACGCTTGCTGGAAGTCCAAGCCCCTTGCCCACAAAACTTCCTTTACCCCCTCTCTTAAACCCCTTTCGAGGACGACCCCTACCCCGCCTTCCTTCCCCTATAGATTTATATGCTTTCCATGTCATTCTACTTTGATCCATTCTCTCTAAATGACCAAACCACCTCAACAACCCCTCTTCTGCCCTCTGACTAATACTTTATTAACTCCACACCTTCTCCTAATTTTCCACACTCCGAATTTTCTGCATAATATTTACACCACACATTGCCCTTAAACAGGACATCTCCACTGGCTCCAACCGTTCTCCTCGCTGCTGCATTTACCACCCAAGCTTCACACCCATATAAGAGTGTTGGTACTACTATACTTTCATACATTCCCTTCTTTGCCTCCATAGATAACGTTTTTTGACTCCACATATACCTCAACGCACCACTCACCTTTTTTCCCTCATCAATTCTATGTTTAAAACCTCATCCTTCATAAATCCATCCGCCGACACGTCAACTCCAAGTACTGAAAACATTCACTTCTTCCATACTCCTCCTCCCCAATTTGATATCCAATTTTTCTTTATCTAAATCATTTGACACCCTCATCACCTTACTCTTTTCTATGTTCACTTTCAACTTTCTGCCTTTACTCACATTCCCAAACTCATCCACTAACCTTTGCAATTTTTCTTTAGAATCTCCCAGAAGCACAGTATCATCAGCAAAAAGTAACTGTCAATTCCCATTTTGAATTTGATTCCCCGTAATTTAATCCCACCCCTCTCCCAAACACCCTAGCATTTACTTCCTTTACTACCCCATCTATAAATATATTAAACAACCATGGTGACATTACACATCCCTGTCTAAGACCTACTTTTACCGGGAAGTATTTTCCCTCTCTTCTACACACCCTAACCTGAGCCTCACTATCCTCAAAAACTCTTAACAGCATTTAGTAACTTATCACCTATTCCATATACAGTGGACCCCCGGTTAACGATTTTAATCCGTGCAAGAGGGGTAATTGTTATGCGAAATAATCGTTATGTGAATGAATTTTCCCCATAAGAAATAATGGAAATAAAATTAATCCGTGCAAGACACCCAAAAGTATGAAAAAAAAAATTTTACCACATGAAATATACATTTTCCCACACACAAAGAGAAGGATACATGCACAATAGTAGAGTAGTACATGTACAGTATATATTGTGCATGTACTAGTCTACTAAATGAAGAATAAATGACACTTACCTTTATTGAAGATGCAGCAATGACTGATGAGACACTGTGTCCTGGGAGTGCCTTTTCCTCCTGAGTACTGTAGGTCCTGTTTGGCATTTTCTTCCAGAACAGGCCTTATCACACTGTGTATGCCACTACGATTCTTAAATCTCTCAAACCAACCTTTGCTGGCTTTAAATTCACCAATATGAGCACTAGTTCCAGGCATTTTTCCCTGTTCACCTGGGTGTTAGTCGACTTGTGTGGGTTGCATCCTGGGAGATAAGATTAAGGACCCCAATGGAAATAAGTTAGACAGTCTTCGATGACACTGACTTTTTTGGGTTATCCTGGGTGGCAAATCCTCTGGGGTTAATTGTTTCTTGGTATTCTCAATAAGCCACACCAACAACGGTGCTACAGCAGCAGCAGCAGCAGCTGACAGTGCAGCAGCAGCAGCAGCAGCAGCTGTACCACCAATAGTAGCGATGGTTGATTGGGGTTTATTATACAACCTGGCCAGCTCGGAGACATGCACTCCACTTTCATACTTATCAATGATCTTTTTCTTCATCTCTATTGTAATTCTCACCCTTATTGCTGTAGGGTTGGCACTAGAAGCTTTCTTGGGGCCCATGGTCAATTATTTTCCAGAAAAAGCACCGAAAACACTGTAATAATACGAAATATTCCGATTGTATGCTTGGATGTTACCGCGGAGGCTGGCTGGTAAACAATGCCACCGGCGGAACATGTGAGCGCGTCTCGGAAGAAAATCGGTAAGCGGGTTTTTAAGCGGTATGTGAGGCAAAATTTTTGCAATTAAAGTAAGCGGTATGCGAAATAATCGCTATGTGATGCCATCGTTATGCGGGGGTCCACTGTACTTGCAAGATCTGCCACATTGCTCCTCTATCCACTATCATATGCCTTTTCTAAATCCATAAATGCAATCAAAAAATTCCCTACCTTATCTAAATACTGTTCACATATATGCTTCAATGTAAACACTTGATCTACACATCCCCTACCCACTCTGAAGCCTCCCTGCTCATCCGCAATCCTACATTCTGTCTTACCTCTAATTCTTTCAATTATAACCCTACCGTATACTTTTCCTGGTATACTCAGTAAACTTATTCCTCTATAATTTTTACAATCTCTTTTGTCCCCTTTCCCTTTATATAAAGGGACTATACATGCTCTCTGCCAATCCCTAGGTACCTTCCCCTCTTTCATACATTTATTAAACAAAAGTACGAACCACTCCAACACTATATCCCCCCTGCTTTTAACATTTCTGTCATGATCCCATCAGTTCCAGCTGCTTTACCCCCTTTCATTCTACGTAATGCCTCACGTACCTCCCCCACACTTACATTCTGCTCTTCATCACTCCTAAAAGATGGTACACCTCCCTGGCCAGTGCATGAAATTACCGCCTCCCTTTCTTCCTCAACATTTAAAAGTTCCTCAAAATATTCTCGCCATCTACCTAATACCTCCCTTTCCCCATCTACTAATTCCCCTACTCTGTTTTTAACTGACAAATCCATACGTGCCCTAGGCTTTCTTAACTTGTTTAACTCACTCCAGTTTAAAAACTGTAGTGTAAAGCACCCTTCTGGCAAGACAGTGATGGAGTGAATGATGGTGAAAGTTTTTCTTTTTTGGGTCACCTTGCCTTGGTGGGAATCTCCCAGTGCTAATAAAAAAAAATAAAAAATATCCTCCACTCCAATGAGTACATGTTCAAGATTTGAAGGCATTCCCAGTAATTCTGATGCTTTACTGGCTCAATATGAGCTGTAAACTATCTCTATTTGTTCCAGCTCTGATAATTCTCCTGCTTTGAATGGGGCTGTCAGCACTGAGCAATATTCTAGACGAGAGAGCACTAGCTATTTGAAGAGTCACCATCAGCATTATTTCCCTTGTTTTAAAAGTTCTCAATACCACCCCGTCATCTTCCTGACTGTCGTGATCATCTTGTTGTGGTCTTTAAAAAAGGTCAGCCGACATAATTATTCCCAGGTCTTTTACATGTTCCTTTCGTTCTATTTGTTGACCCTTGATTTTTTGTATATAGTGTTCCTTTCGAGTTCTTCATTCTTTCCATACCTAAGGCTTTTATGCAAAAGTGCACCTTGTCACAAAACAAAATTTGTTATTCAGTGGTTTGGGCATGCGAGGTACCCTTCTTTGATGACTTGCCAGGATATTCCCAGACTTGAACCCCACTGAGAACCTCTGGGCAGTGGTAGAGATCTAGGGAATGGATATCAGACATCAGTGAGTAATGAGGAAAATGTGAGCAACAAAACCCTGAAGAATGAGGGGTAATCATACCCTAGACAGTTAAAGGATGTCCTAAAGCACAAACTTATGATGGTGTACTTTAATGACAAGCACTATATGGGTCTGTCTTTGTGATGCTAGATATGTTAAATATTACAATGGCACAACTAGGTATAAGTTATAAAACATTTCTGCCAGAAATTTATTATACAAAATATATGAATTTAAAGGTCTTGATAAAATTTAAAAAGTGCTGTATTACGTATTAAGTTCGTTAAAAATAAAAATTTACCAAATTATAACTGATACAGATCTTTATCACAAGTCCTGGTACCTTCAAACAGTAGTATATGAATTCCACTTACTATACAGAATTCCAAAGATGTATTCACAACTAATAACACCTCTCAGGCTCTTCAGTGCTTTTGGGTGTACAGTGGACCCTCGTTTTTTGTAATTAATCCATTCCAGAGTGTGACTAATGGCAAAATTGACAATTTGCAAAACCATTTTCCACACAAGAAATAATGAGAATCCAATTACTGTAATCCCTTTCAGACTAAAAGTATTAACCCTTTGAGGGTCGACAGGCCCTCTCCAAAACTCGTTCTCAGGGTCGGCCAAATTTAAAAAAAAAAAAAAATTATTTTCTCTTATGAAAAGATAGAGAATCTTTTCCCGATCATAAAGACACCAAAAGTTTGAAATTTGATAGAAAACTTACGGAATTATGCTCTCGCAAAGTTAGCGGTCTCAGCGATGTTTACGCATCGGCGATTTTGCCCACTTTGAGCCCCATTTTCGGCCAATTTCACTGTACTAGTCGACAAAAAACATGAATATTTCGATAGAACTCCATTTTTTCTATCGAATGGGTGCAAGAAACCACTCATTTATGAAATTCTACTATCCAGTACAGTGGTCAGAATTTAGTAATTTTGCCAATTTCACACAAATTTCAAAAGATGCCAATTTCCGAATAGGGTCCAGAATAAACAAGAAAGACATTCCTGGCACTAAAATGACATTTCCTCTAGTCCTAAGTCATGTCTCAAGGCCCCTCTTATATTCTTTTGCTTTCCACTTTGAATTTTTATTTTCACAAAATATATAAGATTTACTGTTATGCAGACTACTGCATTAGTGTAAAAAATGGTATAAATATTATTGGTGCACTTGTGAAAGAATATTAGACTCACCAGTTGACGTGTATTGCACGCTTGGCACGATTTGTTTACTTTTGAACTTTGGCAAAAATCGAACATTTCTGCTACTTTGAGCTCAATTTCAAGGCACCTTTCTTTGTAAAACCAGTCAAAATCATCTCAATTTCTGTAATATGTATTCCATTCTATAAAATGAAACCAAGAAAACTAGAATACAACAATAAATACCATACGAAAATACACTGCAAAGTCGCTGATTTATTAAAAAAAAATGGTAAAAGTTTTTTTTTTCTCATTATGCACTGTGTGCTGCAGGATTTTTTTTAGACTGTGCACACTGACCACATAGACCCATTCTTTCATATGAAGGCCTACCAGCTTTCTCCCACTAGATTTGAGGCCGCTAGAATTTATGAGTACTAGTACGTCAAAAACTCCTACGCATAAGACGTACTAGTACGACGAAAACCCTCAAAGGGTTAACAAAAAAAAATTTTTTTTTACACGAAATATAATTTACATACACAGAAAACAATGAGACATGAAAAATAAAACATCACACTTAACTTTATTGAGGACTCTTGTTGGTGTATGAATAAAATATGTCATTACGTATGTTAGGAATTGTGACGGCGGCAGGGGAGTGTGTGTGGAGGCAGGACAAGATAGTCCTTCAACATGACACTAATATCAACTCTACGGTTTATTTATCTGTATCACAATTCATCTAATATGACATAATAAACAATAATAACATAGAAACATGACATGTGCTCTAGAATGAATAAAAAATGTCATTACGTATGTCACAAGTGGTGCTGTATTTTGTTATTGGGTGTATAAGGGCCACTGAGAGCATAAGCTATACATAGTGGTGGTAGTGTTGTCAGTAGCCCTATATAACTCCAACATTGGAGGAGTTAACGTTTGTGCTGTCCTTTTTCTATCGACTAATCGCTTAACTTACTTGCTACACTGTTAATGCTACACTTTATCGCTGGCTGGCGCTATAGCCTTTAATGACTCGTGCTGCTTTAGTATCACACATATTGTAGAATCACTGAAGAATTCTCCTCTCTCTTCCTCCTCCACTTTGGTACTTCACTAACTTTACTACGAGTTCTTTCTTAAATTCTATCATGTTTCTCACCTTCTTTACTAGGAGCTTTCTTTGGGGCCCTAGTGGTTTATTTAGCAGTTGCAAGCACTAAAACAAATGGAATATTACGAAATGTATCGTATGAACACATGGGATCACCCTCACTCGCTGATAAACAATGGCACACTGGCTGTGAATGGAGTGTGGGGCCGCTTGGGGCTGTGCGTACGGGTCTGGGATGAACGACGATTCTTGAGTCAGTATTTTGACGAAAAAAAGTTAAGATTTTCGAAAATTATGACTTCTGATGCTTACGAACAACGAGGGTCCACTGTATTATAAAAAATCCTAAAAGTCACGTAATCCTGGTAGTGGGAATTTCTCTGCATAGGATTCTACCTTTTCCCTAAGCACAACCACACGATTCTTGAACTCCTCGTCATTCAAAACACGCTTGAAGTCCACTAACTTCGGTCCAGATTTTTCTTGCACGTCTCTTGCAATCCTGAAGGCTATAAGAATTTAAGTTACATAAATGTTATTAAATAAATGACAAGGTATATTTACAATATAAATTAAATATATTAGCAAATTTTGTAGTCTACAGAAACACTGCTCAACCACAAAGAACCAACAGTAAATAATTTTTAACCAAGATTTTCTTTGGATTTTTAACCCTGGAGGATTAGCTACCCAGGATAACCCAAGATTGTTTTTCCCTCCATTTATACTCCTAAATTTGACCAAGCCTTACACATTTGATTTAACACTACCACAAATTCATTTAACTGGTTAGGCCTGCTACATACCATACCCACATTTCCTGGAAAAGTTTGTAATATTGTGCATCCGTGCATTATACTTTTTATCACCCAAAGACCATTTTAACACTCCATTTTTTCTTCCTTCTCTCTGCCATTTTGGCATTTAGTGAAAAAAAAATTGTGTCCACTGTGGTCAGCATTTTTAAATTTATTGGAGGCAAGCCTCTGTCTTCTTGTTAAAATTAATTAAACCCTTTGGGGGGCACATCTGACATTTGTCTCTCGTGAAAGCATGGTTTTTTTGTACATTCCTCCTATACCCACTGCCATCTGGGTTCCTGTTCTCTATTTCTGACCAATCACAAGCCTTCTCCGAGTCGCTCCAGCTAAGTGGTGATGGCGTCTGCTCACTTCCCATTGGTTGAGAGACCAAAATGTAAACGCTTCTAGCTTGGTGTCACCAAGAGACTTTTTCATCAGCACTCGTATGCCCTTGGATTTTACCCTCTACAATGTCAGTAAGTACTGATTTGTGCATCTAGTGCATAAATGAATAGTTTAGCCATATTTTGAGATTATATATATATATTATATATATATATATATATATATATATATATATATATATATATATATATTATATATATATATATAAATATATATATATATATATATATATATATATATATATATATTATATATATATATATATATATATATTATATATATATATATATATATATATTATATATATATATATATATAATATATATATATATATATATTATATATAATATATATATATATATTATATATATATATATATATATATATTATATATATATATATAATATATATATATATTATATATATATATATATATATATTATATATATATATATATATATTATATATATATATATATATATATATATATATATAATATATATATAGTGTGTGAAGCATATGAGTACACCATGCAAATGCAAAAAATGCAACAAAAAAGACAGAAAAAACTTGTTCTTGCCACTTTAGGCCCCATTTTAAATTTCGGTAAATAAATATTTTAAAAAAATTTGTAATGCATATATGAATTCTCTAGTGGTCTGGGTGTGTACAGAACATTTTTTTTGGCCTTCCAGATCAATGAGAAATTGTTTTATAGTCAGTCCTCCAAAGAGAAGTCCAAATATGTCTGTTTTGGAGGAAAGTGACTCAGATCCAGAGTCTGATGACCTGGAATTGCTTCACAGTGGTGATGAGTACTTGCCACTGGATGCAGAGGAGTCAAGTGATGAGGAGGATGAAGATAGACCATCCAAAAAGCCAAAATTGTCACTGGCCAGTGCCAGGCAAGCTACTTACATGCAAATTGTGCAGCAAACACAAACATGTCACATCCTCATTTTCCTGTGCCATATGCAAAGTAAATCTATGCATCAAGAAGGATAGATATTGTACAAATTAGCAATCTAGAATGATTGTTCTTTCTCAGGAATACGGGAATTGAAAGTTATATCCCTTTGCAATGTGTCCATGTTGCTACTTGGTTCATTTTTTAATACTTAGAAAATGTTTGAAAACAAGTTCAATTTACGTTTTTGATAATCTCTTTTTGTATAATAAATTTAAAAAATAGTTATTTGGCATTTTATTAACAATTGCAACTTTGCAACATTTAAAATTGTTCACCCTTTAGTGGGCACGACCTAGTTTAGTCGGTCTTTGCATATTGGCAATTGATCGAAAACAAACTTTCACATATCCTTTATATGGACTCGTTTACCTCATACTGAGATACTCTATCCACTCATAGGAAATGCATTTCAAACTCCGATCCTTCATATGTTTGCCCCCAATGGGTTTTAAACCTTGTTAAAATTTGAATTTAAGATAGAACTGTTAAAATCATTACTGGTAGCAAGACTTGGCATCGATCATACCTGTACAGGTAAATTTTTAGTAAAGCCACAGATAAACCTTTCTACTGCAGCACAGATTATGGCAAAACCACATCCACTCTACAAAGATTGTAATACTGATCCCAAGTGCTTTAACTCTCAAACTGCCATTACTTTTTACTGAGACAAATTTCAAATCTTAAGAAAGCTTTCACATACCTTCAGTGATGAATGATACAACCACCTTTATATTTTCTTCCTTCATGTTCCTTGTAGTGAGAGCTGGAGTTCCCAAACGAATGCCACTTGGATTCAATGCAGACTTGTCACCAGGAACTGTAGAGATAATGTTAATCTAAAAGACCAAAGGGACAGTGTTGGAGTGGTTGGTATTTTTGTTTAATAAATGTATGAAAGAGGGGAAGGTACCTAGGGATTGGCAGAGAGAGTGCATAGCCCCTTAATATAAAGGGAAGGGGGACAAAAGGGATTATAAAAATTATAGAGGAATAAGTTTACTGAGTATACCAGGAAAAGTGTATGGTAGGGTTATTATTGAAAGAATTAGAGGTAAGACAGAATGTAGAATTGCGGATGAGCAAGGAGGTTTTAGAGTGGGTAGGGGATGTGTAGATCAAGTGTTTAAGAACATAAGAACATAAAGGAGGAACACTGCAGGAGGCCTGTTGGCCCATACTAGGCAGGTCCTTTACAATTCATCCCACTAACAAAACATTTGCCCAACCCAATTTTCAATGCCACCCAAGAAATAAGCTCTGATGTGAAAGTCCCACTCAAATCCAACCCCTCCCACTCATGTACTTATCCAACCTAAATTTGAAACTACCCAAAGTCCCAGCCTCAATAACCCAACTAGGTAGACTGTTCCACTCATCAACTACCCTATTTCCAAACCAATACTTTCCTATGTCCTTTCTAAATCTAAACTTATCTAATTTAAATCCATTACTGTGGGTTCTCTCTTGGAGAGACATCCTCAAGACCTTATTAATATCCCCTTTATTAATACCTATCTTCCACTTATACACTTCGATCAGGTCTCCCCTCATTCTTCGTCTAACAAGTGAATTAACTTAAGAGTCTTCAATCTTTCTTCATAAGGAAGATTTCTAATGCTATGTATTAATTTAGTCATCCTATGCTGAATGTTTTCTAACGAATTTATGTCCATTCTGTAATATGGAGACCAGAACTGAGCTGCATAATCTAGGTGAGGCCTTACTAATGATGTATAAAGCAATAATGTTGAAGGATCAGTTATGGAGAGAGAAGGAATATAAATGTATAAATTCAAGGATTATGTGGATTAAAATAAGGGTCGGATGTGAAAAGTGGGTCATAATAAGTGTGTATGTTTACAATGAAGCATATATGTGAGCAGTATTTAGATAAAGGTAGGGAAGTTTTTATTGCATTTATGGATTTAGAAAAGACATATGATAGAGTGGATAGGGAAGCAATGTGGCAGATGTTGCAAGTACGTATATGGATTAGGTGGTAAGTTACTAAATGCTGTAAAGAGTTTTTATGAGGATAGTGAGGCTCAGGTTAGAGTGTGTAGAAGAGAGGGAGACTACTTCCCGGTAAAAGTAGGTCTTAGACAGGGATGTATAATGTCACCATGGCTGTTTAATATATTTATAGATTGGGTTGTAAAAGAAGTAAATGCTAGGGTGTTTGGGAAAGGGGTGGGATTAAATTATGGGGAATTAAATACAAAATGGGAAGTGACAATTACTTTTTGCTGATGATACTGTGCTTAGGGGAGATTCTAAAGAAAAATTGCAGAGGTTAGTGGACGAATTTGGGAGTGTGCGTAAAGGTAGAAAGTTGAAAGTGAACATAGAAAAGAGTAAGGTGATGAGGGTATGAAATGATTTAGATAAAGAAAAATTGGATATCAAACTGGGGAGGAGGAGTATGGAAGAAGTTAATGTTTTCAGATATTTGGGAGTTGACGTGTCAGCGGATGGATTTATGAAGGATGAGGTTAATCATAGAATTGATGAAGGAAAAAAGGCAAGTGGTGCATTGAGGTACATGTGGAGGCAAAAAATGTTATCTATGGAGGCAAAGAAGGGAATGTATGAAAGTATAGTAGTACTAACACACTTATATGGGTGTGAAGCTTGGGTTGTAAATGCTGCAGCGAGGAGGCGATTGGAAGCAGTGGAGATGTCCTGTCTAAGGGCAATGTGTGGTGTAAATATTATGCAGAAAATTCGGAGTGTGGAAATTAGGAGAAGGTGTGGAGTTTATAAAAGTATTAGTCAGAGGGCTGAAGAGGGTTTGATCCATTCTCTCTAAATGACCAAACCACCTCAACAAACCCTCTTCAGCCCTCTGACTAATACTTTTATTAACTCCACACCTTCTCCTAATTTCCACACTCCGAATTTTCTGCATAATATTTACACCACACATTGCCCTTAGACAGGACATCTCCACTACCTCCAATCGAATGACACGGAGAGCGTATAAATCTGTAGGGGAAGGTAGGGGGGGTAGGGGTCGTCCTCGCAAAGATTGGAGGGAGGGGGTAAAGGAGGTGTTGTGGGCGAGGGGTTTGGACTTCCAGCAGGCGTGCGTGAGCGTGTTAGATAGGAGTGAATGGAGACAAATGGTATTTGGGACCTGACAAGCTGTTGGAGTGTGAGCAGGGTAATATTTAGTGAAGGGATTCAGGGAAACCAGTTATTTTATATAACCGGACTAATGTCCTGGAAATGGGAAGTACAATGCCTGCACTCTAAAGGAGGGGTTTAGGATATTGGCAGTTTGGAGGGATATATTGTGTATTGTTGTATTCTGGGCACCTCTGCAAAAACTGATTATGTGTGAGTGAGGTGAAAGTGTTGAATGATGAAAGTATTTTCTTTTTGGGCATTTTCTTTCTTTTTGGGTCACCCTGCCTCGGTGGGAGATGGCCGACTTGTTGGCGGGTGGATAAGGCAAGGTGTTACATTTAAAGGTCACTTTTATAACTAATTATCTTCTTACCTGTGTTCTTGTTGCAAGCTATGGATACATCTTCCAATATTTTTTCAGCTTTACCACCAGATAATCCCACCGAACGCATATCAACCCACACTAAGTGGTTGTCAGTTCCTCCTGTAACTATCTTGTAGCCAGCAGTTTGCAAGCCTGTAGCAAGCTCTTTTGCATTTTTTATGACCTGTAATGAATATTAAATACTATGTAAAAAATGAAGCCCAACGTGGTTATTCAAAATAACAAGAAAGGTCTGATTCTGTTTACTGTTTAAATGTAATTCTCAATCTTAGAATTCACACTTATCGAGCTTTACCTCTTCAGTAATTAAAAGTGCCGAATGTGTTGTAATTAATAACCCACTAGCAAGTTTATTACCTAACTGCAAGAATGACAGTTAAATGTGAGTTTTTTTTTTTTCAACACGATGGCCATCTCCCACCAAGGCAGGGTGACCAAAGAAAAACACTTCCATCATCATTCACACAATCACTGTCTTTGCAAAGGCATGTAGATACATCAGTTTGGATGTCACTCCAAACAGCAAATATCCCAAACCCCTCCTTGAAAGTGCAGGTATTGTAATTCTTACCTCCAATACTCAAGTCTGGCTAACTGGTTTCCCTGAATCCCTTCACAAAATATTACCCTGCTCATACTCCAACAGCTCATCAAACCCCAAAAACCATTCATCTCCACTCACTAACATGCTCACACATGTCTGCTGTATGTCCAAGCCCCTTGCACACCATACCTCTTTTACCCCCTCCCTCCCTTCTTTCCTAGGATGACCTCTACCCCCTCCTCTCCACTACAGATTTATACACCCTCCAGGTCATCCTGTTTTGCCCCCAATCCTCTAAATAACCACCTCAACAACCCTTCCTTACCCTCTGAATAATACTTCTAGTAACTCCACATCTTATTTCCACACTATGAATTCTCTGCATAATATTTATGCCACACATTGTCAGTACACACATCTCCACTACCTCCAGCCTCCTTCTCATGACATTTACAACCTATGCTTCACACCCACTATACTCTCATACATTCCCTTCTTTGCCTCCATGGATAATGTTCTTTGTCTCCAGACACAATGCACCACCCACTTTTTTCCCTTCAATTCTATGGTTTACCTCGTCCTTCATCGACCCAACTGATAAATATACTCCCAAATATTTGAATACATTCACTCCGTCCATATTCCCTCCCTCCAATCTGATATCCAATTGTTTTCTTATCTGAACCATTTGATACCTTTATCACCTTTCTCTTATCTATGCTTCCTTTCAACTTTCTTCCTTTACACACCCTCCCAAACTCATCCACTGACCTTTGCAACTTCTCTTCAGATCTCTCAAAAGCACAGGATCATCTCTCTGGGTAGGACCTACTTCCACTGGGTTATCCCGCCTACCAGCGACTATGCCCTCATCTGCTACCAGTCCCATTTCCACCTGACGTTACTATACAAGCGTCAGGCGCCTTGCTTCTGCTTCAGAATCTCCACGACTGCGGTGCTCTTCGCACCTACTGCTAGGTTGAGGAACTGATTACACCATCTTCTGTACATAGTTCTCCTGTCTTCAAGTTATGTCCTGGAATTTGTATTGATAAAGCCACTGGATGGCGAAATGTCTACAATAAAGATACCCAGATGTTGCACATGTGTCAATTTCATCTTGTCGGTATTGTATACCATTCTTGTACAACTTTTATGGGTCATGACAGCGAGAAAGAATCTTGCAAGAAAGTAGTCTAATACTAATTCACACAGCAACATGATTGGTTATGCAAGTTGCACTGGACAAGCACCTAAAGCCGAGCTGTGGCTCATACGTTGGATTGCGTGCAGCCAGCAGTAACAGAGTGGTTGATCAGGCCCTGATCCACAACGAGGCCTGGTCACAGACCGGGCCGTGGGGGCATTGACCCCCGGAACTCTCTCCTGGTAAACTCCAGTACACAGAATACAGGAATAAATGTACAATATCCAGAAGTCTTTCTTTCTTTCTTTCAACAAATAGGCTAAATGCTCTCAAAGCTGTTGCTGGCTACAACCCCAACTATGGTGCTAATGTGAGAATCATGAGAATGATGTACATAGCCTATGTTAGGTCCTTAATTGATTATGCTGTTCTCATGTTGATATTAGCTAGAGAAAGTTCTCTCCGACCCTTGGAGTTAATGCAAAATGAAGCTCTCAGAATTATTTTTGGCTATCCCAAATCAACAAAGGTTCTTAATATGAGGAAGGAGCTAGGTATTCCTAGTATCAGTGATAGGATTAAGATTAACACTGTACTTGGTATTAGAATGTTAAGAAATGAACCACTGTCACAATGAATCTTATTAAGCGTCTCAAAGTAAATACACACAGATCTAAATAGACTGAAAATGTGCAATTGCATTAAGTTTTATAACCTGCATGAACTATCACTGTAGACAACAAGAGCATTTCACCCCTCCATGAAAGATGTGTTCATGTAATATCACATACCTGCAAGTCCCTACCAAGAAGCTCATTGCTAGTAATCCCTTAAATCACTTGTTAAAGCAACTGCTCAAGAAGAAATTTCTTGCCTAGCTGGAAGTAATAAGTTATCATAAGTTATATACACTGATGGATCTAAACAGGAGTCTTCTGGCAAGGCTGCATCTGCTCTTGTTGCCACCTCCCTAGTTAAGAAGGATAATAAACTTTTCGAACTAGGCATAAGAATTAACAACTGGGAGTCTACACTGCAAACTGAATTGTTTGCAATCCTAATGGCACTAAAGCTAACTTATGATACTGAGCTTGACTATCAGCATTACTGATTCTATGTCATCACTGAATGCTCTTAACTCATACAATGACTCCAACAACATGCTCATTAGAGAAGCCAGGTATAGATACTCAAAAATCAGGGACAAAGGAATTAATGTACAATTGCTATGGATCCCATCACACATTGGATTACTCCTTCATGATAAACTTGCTATGTTAGCCAAGAAGAGTACCCAGAAGGAGAATGTAGAATATAACTTTGGTATATCTGTGTCTAGCATTAGGAATAATTTCAGGAGAGAAGTAAATAATGAAAATGATTGTTATTGGAATGCAGTTAGAAGCGAGCAATTCTATAACCCACTATGATAACATGAACGTAGACAAGTAGGTTTATGGAGTAACTTGCAATGTGAACAGACTGACTGATGTTGTAGTGGCCAGGCTTAGGCTTGGTTACAAGTACAGTGGACCCCCGCTTTACGATCAGCTCCCAATGCGACCAATTATGTAACCTGGAGTTTACCTGGAGAGAGTTCCGGGGGGTCAACGCCCCCGCGGCCCGGTCTGTGACCAGGCCTCCTGGTGGATCAGAGCCTGATCAACCAGGCTGTTGCTGCTGGCTGCACGCAAACCAACGTACGAGCCACAGCCCGGCTGGTCAGGAACCGACTTTAGGTGCTTGTCCAGTGCCAGCTTGAAGACTGCCAGGGGTCTGTTGGTAATCCCCCTTATGTATGCTGGGAGGCAGTTGAACAGTCTCGGGCCCCTGACACTTACTGTATGGTCTCTTTAACGTGCTAGTGACACCCCTGCTTTTCATTGGGGGGATGTTGCATCGTCTGCCAAGTCTTTTGCTTTCGTAGTGAGTGATTTTCGTGTGCAAGTTCGGTACTAGTCCCTCTAGGATTTTCCAGGTGTATATAATCATGTATCTCTCCCTCCTGCGTTCCAGGGAATACAGGTTTAGGAACCTCAAGCGCTCCCAGTAATTGGGGTGTTTTATCTCCGTTATGCGCGCCGTGAAGGTTCTCTGTACATTTTCTAGGTCAGCAATTTCACCTGCCTTGAAAGGTGCTGTTAGTGTGCAGCAATATTCCAGCCTAGATAGAACAAGTGACCTGAAGAGTGTCATCATGGGCTTGGCCTCCCTAGTTTTGAAGGTTCTCATTATCCATCCTGTCATTTTTCTAGCAGATGCGATTGATACAATGTTATGGTCCTTGAAGGTGAGATCCTCAGACATGATCACTCCCAGGTCTTTGACGGTGTTTCGCTCTATTTTGTGGCCAGAATTTGTTTTGTACTCTGATGAAGATTTAATTTCCTCGTGTTTACCATATCTGAGTAATTGAAATTTCTCATCGTTGAACTTCATATTGTTTTCTGTAGCCCACTGAAAGACTCGGTTGATGTCCGCCTGGAGCCTTGCAGTGTCTGCAATGGAAGACACTGTCATGCAGATTCGAGTGTCATCTGCAAAGGAAGACACGGTGCTGTGGCTGACATCCTTGTCTATGTCGGATATGAGGATGAGGAACAAGATGGGAGCGAGTACTGTGCCTTGTGGAACAGAGCTTTTCACCGTAGCTGCCTCGGACTTTACTCTGTTGACGACTACTCTCTGTGTTCTGTTAGTGAGGAAATTATAGATCCATCGACCGACTTTTCCTGTTATTCCTTTAGCACGCATTTTGTGCGCTATTACGCCATGGTCACACTTGTCGAAGGCTTTTGCAAAGTCTGTATATATTACATCTGCATTCTTTTTATCTTCTAGTGCATTTAGGACCTTGTCGTAGTGATCCAATAGTTGAGACAGACAGGAGCGACCTGTTCTAAACCCATGTTGCCCTGGGTTGTGTAACTGATGGGTTTCTAGATGGGTGGTGATCTTGCTTCTTAGGACCCTTTCAAAGATTTTTATGATATGGGAAGTTAGTGCTATCGGTCTGTAGTTCTTTGCTGTTGCTTTACTGCCCCCTTTGTGGAGTGGGGTTATGTCTGTTGTTTTTAGTAACTGTGGGACGACCCCCGTGTCCATGCTCCCTCTCCATAGGATGGAAAAGGCTCGTGATAGGGGCTTCTTGCAGTTCTTGATGAACACGGAGTTCCATGAGTCTGGCCCTGGGGCAGAGTGCATGGGCATGTCATTTATCGCCTGTTCGAAGTCATTTGGCGTCAGGATAACATCGGATAGGCTTGTGTTAACCAAATTTTGTGGCTCTCTCATAAAAAATTCATTTTGATCTTTGACTCTCAGTCTGGTTAGCGGCTTGCAAAAAAATAGTCATATTGGGACTTGAGTAAGTGTATTTATGTAAGCGTGTTGTACGTGTATGTTTGGGGGTCTGAAATGGACTAATCTAATTCACAATATTCCTTATGGGAACAAATTCGTTCAGTACTGGCACCTGAACATACGTCTGGAATGAAATAATATCGTAAACCGGAGGTCCACTGTACTTCTGGCAGTTTGGGAGACACACAGATGATCAATCTAAATGCAAATTATGTGATCAGGCATATGGTCACTGTCTTGAACACTATGTGCTTAACCCTTTCGGGGTTTCGGCCGTACTAGTACGGCTTACACCCCAGGGTTTTTGACGTACTAGTACGCCTAAATTCTAGCGCCCTCAAATCTAGCGAGAGAAAGCTGGTAGGCCTACATATGAAAGAATGGGTCTATGTGGTCAGTGTGCGCAGTATAAAAGAAATCCTGCAGCACACAGTGCGTAATGAGAAAAAAAAACTTTGACCGTGTTTTTGGATTAAAACAGCGACTTTGCATTGCATTTTCGTATGGTATTTATGGTTGTATTCTAGTTTTCCTGGTCTCATTTTATAGAATGGAAGACACATTACAGAAATTGAGATGATTTTGACTGGTTTTACAATGAAAAGTACCTTGAAATTGAGCTCAAAATAGCAGAAATGTTCGATTTTTACCTAAGTTTAAAAGTAAACAAATCATGCCAAGCATCCAATACATGTCAACTGGTGAGTAACATTCTTTCACAAGTGTGCTGATATTATTTATACTATTTCTACACTAATGCAGTAGCCTGCATAACAGTAAATCTTCTATTTTTTGCAAGAATAAAAATTCAAAGTGGAAAGTCAAAGAAATATAAGAGGGGCCTGGGGATGTGACTAACGAACAGAGAACTTGTTATTTTAGTGCCAGGAATGTCTTTCTTGTTTATTCTGGACCCTATTCGGAAATTGGCATCTTTTGAAGTTTGTGTGAAACTGGCAAAATTGCTAAATTCTAACCATTTTATTGGATACCTGAAATCGGTAAATGGGTGGTTTCTTGTACTCATTTGATAGAAAAAATGAAGTTCTAACAAAATGGCTATGAGTTTAGTAAACTGGAACAAGGGAATTGGCTAAAAACAGGGCTCAAAGTCAGTGAAATCGCCGATGCGTGTATGTCGCCGAGACTGCTAACTTCGCGGGAGCGTAATTCTGCGAGTTTTCTACCAAATTTCGTACTTTTGGTGTCATTATCATCGGGAAAAGATTCTCTCATTTCATAAGAAAATTTTTTTCCAAAAATTTTGCGACATAGAATGACAGTTTCAGAAAGGGGCTTGCAACAGTCAAAGGGTTAATTAGGATTCTTAATTTTACACACTCCATTAGGTGAATTAAGAATTTAAACGGCTTGAATTTTAAGTCACAGAAATGTAACCGATATTTTTTGTTTATGAATGAAATCACAAACTTAAGGGAGTAGTTTAGATGTCAGACGATTTCAAAGACAAACTACAGTATAACAGAAATGAAGTTTTTTAAAAGGCTTTTTATAAGTAGCTAGCCTTTGTGAATTAATGGTTCTGCAATGACTATCTGTAAAGCACAGATTCTCTACTCTGAAATTACAGTAGTTAAAACTTTTTTTTTTTTTTTTTTTCAACAAGTCGGCCGTCTCCCACCGAGGCAGGGTGACCCAAAAAAGAAAAAATCCCCAAAAAGAAAATACTTTCATCATCATTCAACACTTTCAATTAAAACTTATTCTAGAAATTTTTAGTCAAATTGTAAAGCTCTACCCTAATATTATCTGACAAGGAAGTGCAATTTTTTCTTTTAGAGCAAACCAGAATTTTAGGGTAGTTATTAATTATGATAAAAAATTAAGTATAATTCCATTGAACTAAATAAAAAATATTTAGTATTAATACTTGTTTTCTTGTATTCTGAGCACCTCTGCAAAAACATTGATAATGTGCGAGTGTGGTGAAAGTGTTGAATGATGAAAGTATTTTCTTTTTGGGGATCTTTCTTTTTTGGGTCACCCTGCCTCAGTGGGAGACGGCCGACTTGTTGAGAGAGAGAAAAAAAACTTGTTTTATTAAAAAGTTAAAAAAAAACTTAGTGTCATCTGCTTACCCAAACATTTTTTTCAAAAACACACCACTGAGTAAGGAGTAACTTTGCAACAAACCTGTTCTTGATATTCTTTAAATGAAGGTTCAGCAGCCTGTCTCATGGTAACAGCAATAGCAGCAATCTGATGATTATGGGGTCCTCCTTGAAGCCCTGGAAACACTGCCTGATTGATCTTGTCTTCATAGTCATACATAACTGCTTTTCCATTTTTATCCACACCCTTCTGTCCTGTGGCAGATAATAAAATACATTTATTCCTTAAAAAAGTAGCATGTTTAAGCACATTAGCTGTGAATGTCATCCAATACTGTTGTAAACTAATTACAAATCACAGAAAGCACCAATCAATAATTTTTTTTTTTTTTTTTTTGACCTTTCCTTTCCTCACACCGGCCGTATCCCACCGAGGCAGGGTGGCCCAAAAGGAAAAACGAAAGTTTCTCCTTTTACATTTAGTAATATATACAGGAGAAGGGTTACTAACCCATTGCTCCCGGCATTTTAGTCGCCTCTTACGACACGCATGGCTTACGGAAGAAGAATTCTGTTCCACATCCCCATGTAGATTTTTTTTTTTTAAACATAAGCAAAAAATTATACGAACCTCTTCTATAAAAGATAACACCACTACGAGGTCCACGAAGTGTCTTGTGTGTTGTTGTAGTGACTATATCACAATATTCGAAGGGGTTTGTAGTGAGGCCTGTGGCTACAAGACCACTTACATGTGACATGTCTGCCATCAGAAGGGAGCCATTTTCATCACAGATCTCCCGGAACCTTTTATAATCCAGGTGACGAGGATAACAGCTGACACCTGCAGTATAACCAATCATTTTTAATTTTAAATGACATTCTTATGCATCATTCCAAACAATGTCTACTAAAAAACAATAAAAAATTGCCACAAACTATTCTCCATTTTATTACAATTATAAACAAACTGTTTAGGCAGTTTAATTGAAGGATGTTAATGCCTGAAGGAATTTAAACTATTTTATGTACTTTGTAATAAAATAATGGCTAAATAATATTTCAGTTGTGAAAATTTTAATTTATTCAAGTTAACTTTACCCTAGTGACAAGTACGAGAGCAGAAAAAGATTTAAGCATTACACAGATTAGCACTAAGAACCAGCAAATGGTTACAATAATTAATATCTACAGTATACTCCTTTTTTTCATTAACATATTGGCTGTCTCCCACTAAGGCAGTGACAAAGAAGAAGAAGAAGGAAAAAAAAAAAAAAAAAAAAAAAAAAAAAAAAAACAACTTTCACCATCATTCACATTATCACTGTCTTGCCAGAGATGCACAGATACAACAGTTTAGACATCACTCTAAACAGCAAATATCTCAAACCCCTCCTTTCAGAGTGCAGGCACTGTACTTCCCATCTCCCTCTAGGACTTGTCCAGCTAACCGAATGTTTTTCAAAATGAGATCACCCACAAAAATAATTTTCAGTCATTGCTCATCTTTTAGTTGAATGTTAAACAGCAATCTGTTCTTGAATTTACCATATGCTTTTTTTACACTGCAAAACTAGGGAGAAAAACAAGATACAGTGGACCCCCGTTAACGATATTTTTTCACTCCAGAAGTATGTTCAGGTGCCAGTACTGACCGAATTTGTTCCCATAAGAAATATTGTGAAGTAGATTAGTCCATTTCAGATCCCCAAACATACACGTACAAACGCACTTACATAAATACACTTACATAACTGGTCACATTCGGAGGTAATCGTTATGCGGGGGTCCACTGTATACCATTCCAAATACACAAAAATCAATAAAATCATTGAGAAAGAATCTAACCTGCAATTATAAGCTTTGGCTTGAAAAGCTTAGCATTTTCTTGCAGTCTGTCATAATCTATCAGTTCTGTGTTAACATTGATCTTGTAAGGCATCGACTCGAAGAATATTGACGTAGCAGACACCTTTTTAGCGGCCGTGTAGAAGCCATGTGTTAGATGCCCTCCATCAGGAAGATCCAAACCTGAAAGGAATCTCTTCCGACAATCAAAACTGACGCTCCAGTATTAATAAACTACCTCATTAAATTCTTGTGGCTTATTTTAGTCTGTTAGGAACTGAAGCTAAAAATCTTTAGTGGAAAATAAATTTCCAGTGTTAAAATTTAATTCAACAAACCAGTTGACAGCACTATGGAAATATATGTTAAGTGAAGTTCAGGAGGCTTTTTTTTTTTAATCTTAGCTGCTACTGGCACCATACAGAATGAAGAATGTTCAGTAAATCCCATCACTTTCTTCCATGCCACAGAGTAAAAGCATTGTACAGTATATGAAGATTTTAATTTTAAAATGAAGATACACAACACAATTTCTGGTATTTTAGCACCTTTAATGAGAACTACTAAGCGCACAAACTGCAGATCTTATTCATAGGAAACAATGACACCTGGCAAGGAGAATATTCAACAATTTTGCATGGAGAGTCTTGCTGGTTCTTATAATACCACATTTATCAACAACTTGCCAGTCATTCCAAATTCTCTGTATACAACAAATTACTGTAGTACTTTGGAAATCTCTAAATAAAACTTACTAACTCGCTCCCATACTCAGGTGATGGGTGTCTGGTGCATAAATAAGCTGCTCCACTATTTATAATTTCTACTAACATTCAAGCTAAATTTTAGGAACTTTTTTTTTTACCTAAACATGCAACATTTTTACCAAATTAAGATCTTAATGTATCTTACTAAAAAAATGCATGCAGATTTACCTTTTTGTGAATATATTGGTAATAGTCGTACTACCTGTAATGCAGTAAAAGCTATATTAATTACTTTTACATTTAAGTTGAGGATACCAAAAACAAAACAGCCTTATTTCACTAAGCAGAAACCAACACCTCATCCTTACCCATTATACGTCCATGAGGCTCAACTAGAGCTGTGTAGACAGCAAAGTTGGCTGGGGAGCCAGAATATGGCTGAACATTGACACCCCATTCTTCAGGTTTCAGTCCAAATGCCTTCAGGGCACGCTGCTGACACAGTAATTCTATTTCATCTATAAACTCGTTTCCACCATAATACCTACAGACAAGCAAAAATGGTGAAAGGTCAGTGATCATAGGACTCCTGTCCTATAAGCAATATTAAAAGGAGCATTACACAGTAGCTTGCTTATTCAGGGTGCCTTGAAAAGCTTAGGTTGTGAAAGAGGAGCTGCACTTCTCAGTATACTTAGAATAACTAAATCATTCAGGAAAGGGAGAATACCTACAGAAATGATTGGAAAGTAGTGGCTGAAATAAGGAATAAAACCAAGAGGCATGGAAAAGGTAACTCATCTCTGCTGCAGAATGTATTTTGGTTACCAACAGAAAGAAAAAACAAATTCAACCCATAAAAAAAAAAGAATTGATAGTCAACTCATTTTTTCTTAACGTTTCATTGTACGACTGTCATAAGGGAAAAAATTTGCTAAGGGTACCCAAAAAATTTCCTCAATGTATTGAATAAAACAATACCTTTGATTAAATAAATTAAAATTAATGCAAAAAGACTTCTGATTACACAAACTAAAAAGCCAAGTCAACATTGCATGGCTTACAAAATGACTATGCAAATTATGAAGTACTTTATTGGAAAATAGTGATACCTCGCATATCCAGCCTGCCATTATCCGAACTTTGCCAATATCCAAACAGGCTATGGGAAAGGGCAAAATTCTAAAATTATTACCGAAACATCCGAACAGCAGTTTGGATACAGCAGAAGGCTGAATTAAACTTGGCACACACTTTAGTGTACTGGTTGGCCACTAGGAGCCATGCCCTTTGCCTTCCTTTTAGCATTATTACAGCTGTGTTTTGTCCTAGCTATCTTGTGTATTGCACCAAGGAGGGCCAGGAATGTGCTTACTCTACAAAAAAAAGAGGGAAATGTCACACGTGAATGCAGGTTGGTCCAAGGCTGGGGAAAAAAATACAGAAGACGATGTGCAGGACTGGCTAGAGTGCGACGAAGACGACCCTGGTGTGCAACCTCTGACGGATGCAGAGATTGCTTAATCAGTGTTGCACCCAGAACATTCCAAAAGTGACGACTACTACCCAATTCCTCCAAGACCAAAAACTTCAGCAGCAAGGGCAGGTGCTGAAACACATTTGGAGTACATAGTTATAGCATCCACTGTCCACAGCCCATCTGAAAAGTTATGGTCCTGTGGTCCGTGAAATCCAGAAGGCTGTTATTCGAGCCCAGAGTGTCTGGTCCCACTGCCAGACGATACCGGACTTGCTTTTTAAACCTACAACTCCGTCGCCAATATGACAGGGTACGGATGGCGACATGACTGTACAGATGCACATTTTCCCCATCACGTATCCGGAAACTCTGTTTCCGGACCAATCTCGGCCCATATGTTTGGATATGAGAGGTGTCACTGTATATGGAGAAAGATGATTAAGTTATTCCCCTGTACTGTAACAGGAATCATTCCTACAAAAATTTGTTTAGAGAACTGAACCTACATTTACGGAAGACAAAATATAGGGGGTACAATTTATGTATAAATGGAAATAGGGAATCAGGGAATCAAGGTATTATACACAAGATTAAAAAAAATTAGGAAACCAAAACAGAACTCTCAACATTGGATTAATATTTGAGAAATTCAAATTTAGAAAGGGGTGTGGCATGGGTTTCTCAATACATTTTTCTAATCTTGACAACAATATCATCTACAAGCAAGTAACCATGGGTGTGGTGTGCCTTAATATGTATAATCATCTTTAGATTATTCTTGTCAAAGCAGGGCCAAAAACTTCCAGCTGAACTCTGTACAACTTTATCTATATGACCCACAGGCCCATTACTTTGGTGGCCTTTTGGCAATGTACATTTGTACATTGCCAAAAGGCCACCAAAGCATACAGGTTACTGCAGATCATGCTTGACACCACAGCCTTTGCCTTTTTAGCATCTGCTTATTCACTACCCTCAACCCTGAGATGGCTCTGGCACCAAGACAATCAGATTTTAAGTGATGAGTAAACAGGTAGGCTACTCTTACATCTTTCAGACCACTGGGTGCATTGAAGCATACTGGCAACTAGACTCAAACCTGAAGGCACAGGGCCACGTGCAAGTGAAACAGTTCACCAGACCAGTTCAGCACATTAGTGCTTCGGTTATTTTTTATCTGTTAAATCCATAGTGGTCATAGCACCTGGAGAATGGGAAACATTTAGGTTGAGTCTAAGGAAAGGGATGACAAGTGTTATTAGGTATGACAAGCTAGTTTCTTGGATCAAGAACCCTTCACCAGCACCAAGAAACCTCTCCTGAGGGTAATGCTCCAGTTACAAACTTTCTTTCTACAGTATACATAATGTAGTTTACATGTGTAATACAATATTGTTAAGCACAATAGCAGGCCACTAGCATGATGAATGATCATGACCACAGTCATGCAGGAAGGTAATAAAAAGTTTGAATAGACTGTGCTTACTCAGTGCATATTCCATATTTTCAATGGGTTTTTAAAAAACAATAATGACTTACCTCTGGCCCACCATACCCTCAGAGTACTTGTTTGTTAAGCAAGATGACAAACATTCATTAACTGCACGAGATGTAAAATTTTCAGAGGCAATCATTTCAAGACCACGAAACTGTCGATTCTGTAAAAGATTAAGTTTATCTTGATACAGGAACACAAAAGTACAATTATCATACCTAGTAACACTTGTAAACTACCTAAGATAACCCCAAAACAATAACTTATTTCCATGAGAGTCTTTGGTCTATTTCCATTGGAATGGGGGGGGGGGCTTTTATTGTAGATTAAATTAAAACCAACTGATTTATTGAAAAAGCCTATTGCTTTAAAATTCATATTGTACTTGCCTTCTCTTTCCTGAGAATTTCGAAGAGTTGTGGGTCATCCTCTGCCAGGGGTCGACACAAGGGGTGCTCACTCTGACTTTCTGCATTCATACTAAGAAAAAAAATTTAAGACAGCATTTTGTTAAACCTCTATTTGTATGATAGTCAATTATATTAATCTTCGTATGCTCTGCATACAAAGGGGTTTTCGGCATGTACACTATTATATTCCTCTGTACAACCATGTAACTTGTCAAAATAAACATGTTAATCTTAAACGTAAAAAAAATTAAGAAATAAATATAATTAAAACAAGCACTAAACCTGTATGAGTGATATACCCTCTAAAATTATGGCCACTTCTCCATTAGCAACCAGAATTAATAAGGTTGACCTTCCCTAGTGTGAAGGTCCACAGGAGAGGATTATTATTATTATTATTATAATCAAGGGGAAGCGCTAAATCCGTAGGATTATACAGCACCTGGGGGGAAGTGGAAGGTATTCAGGTTTAATTCAGGGAACTGGAGAATAGATCCAATTCCCTAAATCAAGAGCCCCTCACCAGCATCAAGGAACCTTCCTTGAGAGTTCACAGATGAGGATCATCGCTAAAACCAGTTTAGTAACTAATCACCAGTGGTTTTTTGCGCTATAATTTAAAACATGCTTCGCAATATGGCTTGTAAGTTAATTTATGTACAAGTACACATGTTAAACTATGATAATTGCACTTGTTGCTTATTATTACTTGTGTGTATTTAGTAACCTTACTAAACCCGTATGTCATCCAGCACAGGGAGTGATGGAGGCTTGCTACTCTCCCTTTAAATTCTCATAATCAAACTGTGCAGCTAAGCATTAATTTTTGTTTCTTATAAACATCATTATATCTTTTATAATACAAACATTAAGATCCGTTTAGATCTCGCTAAAACGTCATACAAGTAAACGCGTCATCAAGTTCACAATACCGAGGTTTTATACTAATAACATTTTTGGCGCCACCTCAAGTTATGCCACGTTAACTAATTCAACCACACGGCAAGATTATTTCCTTTATTATGATATAATTACTGCAGAATAGGAGCACTTAAGGCCCTCCCTTAAATTACAAGTCTTGAACTATGAGTTAACTCACTTGTTAATGGTGTACAGACACTACTTCCCCTCAACACAACTGACTCAGTAAAGACAGCTGTTTACAAATGTCTGTCTTATATAGACTCGCCTCCCTACAGCTGACCAATCAGCGACCACTCTGCTCGTGACGTACTTTACGTGGGGTTTTTGAACGTTTGTACTAACTTACGTAAGTTTATTCAAATTCAAATTCAAATTCAAATTCAAAGTTTATTCTCTATAAGGATTACAATGCATGTGTTTACAGAAATTTGGTTATTGTGAGGTTTACATGTAGTAAAATTGTGATTACAGAGTGTACCACTAGAACGCTTAGCATGGCTAGGCATTTCGGGCAGACTTAGTTTTATTCTTAATTGTAAAATATTACAAATTATGAGGTAAGTTGGTATTATGGCTAAGTGACTAAATACTAGTTTGTGAGTTTAGCAATGTAAATGCTTTTGTTTTGGCACAGTACATAGTTTTCAGTGTTGGAGTATCACAGGATTCATTATTTTAAGATTGAGATTAATATTTCTGTTTATGGTCAAATGATGAGTGAGTGTAAGTGTGAACCACCAGGTGGTATTCATGTAGTTTAGTTGATGGGGTGTATCAGGGAGATAAGATGTTTTCTAATGTAGTTTTGAAGGTGATGAATGTGTCTGCAGTTCTAGAGTTCTCGGGTAGGTATTCCAGATTTTAGGGCCTTTTGACATACATTGAATTTTTGTAAAGGTTTAGTCGGACCCGGGGGAATGTCGTAGAGATGTTTGTTGTCTGGTGTTATGCCTGTGCGTTCTGTCACAACTATCAAGAAAGCGTTTAGGTAAAGGGTTTGAAAATAGAGTTTAAGGCCCTGTAGATGTAGATTGCACAGTAGTAAGTGTGGATGTACTGAACTGGGAGTAAGTTTAGGTCTATGAAGAGTTGGGGGGGTGTGTTGCCAGGGATGGGATTTAGTGATTATTTTTACTGCAGCTTTTTGTTGGGTTATTTTTGGGCTTTAGGTGTGTTGCTGCAGTTGATCCCCAAGCACAAATAGCATAGGTGAGGTATGGATAAATAAGTGAGGGGTATAGTGTGAGAAGAGCATTTTGCGGCACGTAGTATCGTATCTTGGAGAGGACCCAACCGTTTTGGATACTTTTTTGTTATATGCTGGATATGGGTGCTGAAATTCAGGTTGTTGTAAAGGGTATAAGCCTAGGAATTTTCCCCCTTATTTCTGAAAATTAGAGTGTTGTCAATCTTAATGTTAATTTGTGCATCTCCTGCTCTGCTACCAAACATAATATAGTAGGTTTTGTCAGTGTTAAAGCGAAAAGTTTATTGGCTGTCATCCAAGTCGATATTTTAATCAGCTCCTCATTCACAATGGTGTTGAGGGTGGCAAGATTAGGGTGAGAGATGACATAAGTCGTGTCATCAGCAAAGAGAATGGGTTTCAGGTGTTGGGAAAACGTTTGGAAGGTCATTGATGTATATGAGGAAGAGCGGGGGACCAAGGACACTTCCTGGGGAAACTTCGTATCAAGTGGCCGTGTTGCTGATGCTGTGTCTTTAATGGTGACGTACTGATCCCTTTTAGTAATGTAAGATTTGAAATAAGCAAGCGCAGGGCCTCTTATACCGTAATGATCAAGTTTGTGGAGTAGGATGTCGTGGTCTACTGTGTCAAAAGCTTTTTTAGGTCAATAAAAATTCCTAGTGGATATTCCTTATTTTCCCCAAAGCTGTGTAAAGCAGATCTAGCATTTTTATGATTGCATCATTATGCTTTTATTTTCCTGAATCCAAATTGGCAGGGGTTGAGTATGTTTTGAGCCGTTATAAATGAATACAGTCTCCTGTGCACGAGTTTCTCAAAGAATTTGGATAGCAATTTGGGAAGTTAGATATTGGCCTATAGTTGTTTAAGTCTGTAGGGTCACCACCTTTATGTATTGGTGTAACCCTTGCCATCTTGAGTAGTTTCGGAAGGTGCTAGTCTCTAGTGACTTGTTAAAAAGTAATGAAATTGCATGCAAAAGGACATGGGCCGCTCGCTTTTACAGTAAAAGGGGACAGAGACAGAATTCCCAGAGTTAATTTTTAAGTGACTTTATAATCTCAATGACTTCCGTGGGCTCAGTTGGTGCAAGATAGAAGGAATTAGGGAAATTCCATCTAGGTAGTCCCCAGCATGGGGATTGGTATGTGGATTTTTCTGGCGAGATTAGATCCTATGTTTTGAGAAGAAGTCGTTTATCTTGTTAGCTGTGTCAGTGGGGTGTAGTGGTGTTTTAATTAGGTTTAGTTAGGACAATATTCTTGGTTTTCTCAGTTTGTGGGTCCCTAGAATCTGAGAGAGTGTTTTCCCAGGTCTTTTTTATATCTCCTGCTATGTCTGTGATCTACTGGAGTAGTATAGTTGTTTTGGCTTTCTTATTTCTTTGGTGAGAGCTGATGAATAGTGTTTAAGAGTATCTTTGTGTATTAAGCCCTGTCTAAAATTGCTTTTTATATTGGTGTTTCTTGTCAATGGATTTCAGAATGGTGCTGGTTAGCCTGGCAACCAAGCCGTTTGTTTGTGATCTGTTTTGTTTTTATTTGGACAATGTTTGTTGTATGTCAAGTAATTTGTTAAGAAAAATGTCTGTCCAGTCATCAATACCCTTGGCCTTGGAGAATTCTGTAGGCCAATCAACAGTCTCTAGGTCAGCTGTGAACTTCCTTACTGAGGCCTCGTCAAGTCTAAATGAGACTTTGTTGTATTCAAGTGGTGGTTTACTAATGTTTGTCAGGAGAAGGTAGGGTATGGTCTGTAAAGGGTATCTGTGATTATCCCTGATTTAAGGGGGGCTAGTATATTGGTCCATATGTGGTCTATTATGGTTCACTTGTCTCAGTTGAGCCTGGTTTGGTTTGTTATTGTTGGTATGAGAAGTGTGTTGTTCATATTGTTGATGAAATCAGTTACAGGCTGATTATCTAGTAGGCCAGGTTGATGTTGAAGTCTCCAGCTAAGAGAAGGTGGTGCTTATTCTTTTGTCTGTTTGTTATTAGTGATTTTAAATTTCTCACTGAAATTTGGGATGTTTGTGTGAGGTATCCTGTAAATGGCACCGATTGTTATAGGTGTCTTAAGGTTTTTACAGAAAAAATTAGAAAAAAATGTTTTCCCCCATATTCATCACTAAAGCAAGTGGTGCTAAGACAAGATAAATTGGTTAGAGTAATAAAATTGCAATCCCACCCCCAACTTGGTTTGTTCTGCAGTTGTGAATTGCTGTGTATCCTGGTAGAGGGTAGATATCTATTGTGTCTTGCTTAAGCCAGGTCTCAGTAAGAATAATGCAGGAGAAGGGTGTCTTTAGTGATTCAAGGAGTGCTAGGAGGTCATCATAGTGTTTGCTTAAGGACCTGATGTTGTAGTTAAGTACTGATAGACTTTTAGCATTGTTTAGGATAGTGGTGGCTTGTGATGCTGTGTAATAAAGGCAGTTACTTTCCAATAGGTTTTGATTGGGTGTCAGATTATGGAGGTTTAGATCAGGTATACACAAATACAGTTACATAGATTTTCATACATAGCAGTATATGTGTAGAGAACCTAGGATAACCCAAAAAAGTCAGTGATTTATTTCCATTGGGGTCCTTTTAATACCTTATTATTATACTATAAAGGAGATAATATTTTATCATACTATAAAGGAGATATACTAGCAATAAGGTAAAATTAGTTTATATTTACATGTGTGTTAGCTAAAAAATAAAAAAAAGTATTCTCCTCCCTTTCTGCTGCTACACTTATTAGGCACCTTTTGGCTCTCTTCTTGATAAGTCACTCTGTCTGACTTTTTGGGTCATCCTAGGTACTTTACACATATGCTGATATGTATGATAATTCTATGTAACTGTATTTGTGTATACCTGAATAAACTTAACTTACTTACTTGAACTGGTTCATGCTATGACTGGCTTTGTCACGTGCGGGCAGTCTGTTCCATTTCTTTATTACTGTGCAATAAAAGGTGCTTGAAGCCTGGCCACTGACTGTGGCTACTACAAATTCTGGTTCAATTTGACGAGGGTTGATAAAGTAGTAGGAAATGGCCAGGCCATCAGACAGTGCTCTGGTAGCCATGGTGACCTCCAGAAACGTGACCTTGAGCAACGAGGAAGCGTTGGAAATCTTCACAAAAGAGTCAATCTTGGCCCTTGGCCCAGGCGTTAAGATCTTCAATTGATGACTTAATGTCGTCGGAAGACATGTTCGTGATGAGGTTATCAAGGCGTTTCATGAACACTGACCGTTTAGCTAGTATGTAAGGTGAGGTAGAGATGGTAAAGCCTACGGTCGTCTAATATCTTCTGTGCAGCAGACGTGAGTACCTTGTCTGCTTCTTCATCATCAAGAAAGGTGACAAGAAAAGCTTCTTTCAGAGTAGTAATGTTCGAGAACTTAACCATCAGACTAGACTGGAGAGAGGATGCAAGTTCAAGCTTCGTGGCATCGTTGATAACAGCAGTCTTGGGTTTAATCCTCACACGATGAGACATCGTGGAGATGGTAGAGGTTTTCCTCCCTAACGGGGATCGTCGAGAGACTGTTTGAGAAGTGCAGGAGCGTCTGTGACCGTACAGGACGAAGTCTACAGAGCGAGTCGAAGTGGCTTGCTGTTGTCGAAACTACGACAGGATGTGAGTTGGTGTTGAAAAGGGCAAAAGATGGTGGAAAAGCTGGGAAGTTGAACTCTAGCATGTTGTTTAACTTGAAGAGTTCATTAATGGCTGTGTCGAAAGTCCCAGTAACAGCAGCGTTGTGCATGTGTGCATAGACCATGCAGTAGTATATTGTTGTCGGGTCATAGTCAGGTGCGATGTTGGTGGTGGAGGGTTGAATAGAAGCCTGGAGGATGTCTTTACGTGTGGGACATTTAGCAGCGAGAGTGTGGTGGTCATTGCTTTTGCAGTTGAGGCAAGTTGGTGTCGACGGAGCAGAGGCAGTGCAAGACTTGAAATCGTGGCCCTCGCAGCCACATGTTGTGCAGAACTTCTTTTCCTTCACAGGACAGTCCTTGGTGTTGTGAACATATGAGTAACAATTCCAGCAGTGAT